GCAGTGTGGCTTCACAGCTTAGAGACTGGAGAAACTATGTCGATGTATATGGGAACTAAAATGGAGGTATTAAAAAGCCTAGAATGGATACAAAATAAATCATAAAGGAATGAGACCATGAATCAATTTAAAGAAAAGAGAATAATTATAGAGTTTATTATTTCTGGAAAGATTTTATATAAATCTTAGTACATGATAACCTAAGAGATTCTTTAATTCTCCACATAGAAAAAAGTTTCTTTACCCATCCCAATCAGAGAGTAAAAAAGTCAGAGATATCTCAAAGTCTTCTCAGACTTTCAGGGCTTCACAATAATGAGAAACCATATGCTGGAAGAGAAATATTAATAGAAAATGCTGTCTTTCAGATGCTCACTGAGTCAACTGAAGACAGTTGACACATCTTTAGTAAGCTGTGTATGAATCTTAGCTCATTAACTACTCCTGTATTATTAATGCTGCTTCCAATTCCTAATATGACACATCAATAAACCAGATCTGAAAAGGTGTCATTTCGATTTTAATGTATCCAATTGTATTTTTAGATGTCCCCCACATAGAAGTGTTCTGTTATTTCCTGATTTTAGAAGCTATGGAAGATTTGAATGGGAAAACACAGCATTCCTATAACCGTCTCAAAAGATTTTGTTCTGATTATGTTGTAAAAAATAATAAATTGTTCCTCTTGTACAGTTTTCCCCTCTAGAACTTCAGCGTGTTAGCCACCAGTGTGCATGTGTTGCTCTCTGTTTGATACCTCAAATATGTGTGCAAGTAGAAAAAGAAAGAAAAAGATTTTTATAAGATATTCTTCATGTAGAGTGTTTCTCATAAGCAGACTAAGGAACCAACATATATTTTATACAAGTTCTTAAATGTGACTACTCGCCAATCAGCTCAATTTCTCAGGCCATGACACTAAGTATTTAGGGTATTGTGTAATGCCAAGCTACCATAGTAATTGGGCTTTCACCAACTGACAACAACTCAGTCCAAAAATTAGCAACTACATTTTAATGTTCCCTGCAACCAGGTAGTATACATGATACAAATAAAAGGTGGACTAGACCCAGCATGAGCCTTCCAGGAAGAAAGAGATATTTCTAGAGTACTTAGTTTTACCAGTCATTGTTCTAGATACATTACACACTGCTTTGTTTATTACATAAAATTAGTATCTTAGATATTATTCAAAGAGAATAAAAAATATGTCCATGGGCAGGGGATTTAGCTCAGTGGTTCCGGCGCCTGCCTCGCAAGTGGAAGGTCCCAAGTTCGATCCCCGGTACAAAAAAAAAAAAAAATGTCGAAGCCACATAGCTTATAAAAGTTGTTAAAGAATTCAAACCGAGGTCTATCTACTTTTTATTCATTAAATTTATTGGTACATTTTAGGTACACATTATGATCACATTCATCATTGGGAATTTGTGCCTACCTGTCCATGATATATCTTGGTTCTTGTTTTTTTTCATTCCCCTTCCCTCCCTTCAACCTCTCCACCCCTTCCTTTTTACAAAAGCTTTGCTTCCATTTTTTCCTTCTTTTTTCATTTTTTTCTTTCCATTCTTTCCTTCCCCCATCCTCCTCCCTAGTTGCCCTTCTCCCTTGAACACTTTCTTCCTATTTCACATTATCTATTATACATTTTGATCTTCATTTACACTTTCAGTTTCTCACACCAGAGAAACAGTTCAGTATTTAAATGTGTCCTATTTATTTCACTTAAGAGTATGACCTCAAGGTGCCTCCATTTAGCTATAAGTATCTCTAGTTTATCTTTCTTTATGGCAGAGTAGCACTCCATTTTATTTTTTTTTAAAACCCACATCTTCTTTATCCAATCACTAGTTGATGGGCATTTGAGCTGTTTCCAAGTTTTAGCTATTACAAACCATGCTGCTATAAACATGGGTGCACATATACCACTGTGGTATGATGCTTTTAATCCATGCTTTTGTCTTCTATTCATTCATTAGCTCTTTTTTTCATTCATTTACTCCACTACCTTCCAGTATAAAAGCTACTTAGCTTTTTAGGAAAATTCCCTACTCAATGGTGGAGAATGACAGGCATTCAAGCAATGCAAACATTATATGAAATGCTGTGCAACTAGAATGTTCTGTGTGTGATGGGACACAGCAGAAGAATTAACTCTCCAGAGAAGCTCACAATTTTCTTATCTGGTGGCTTAACAGACTTGATAATATCTAATTTCCTTCTCAGCACCATAGCAATGACCTTGAAATTCAAGTATGCTGCTAAGCAATGCTCAACCTTTTTTCAGTCCACTCTGACTAGATCATTTGTTCCCTAAAATTAAGGCTTGCTGGATGTAGCAGTTAAAGTCACTCTCACTCGATGTCTATCAAGCTTAATTTAGGCCTGCTACTTTAGAGACCTTAATGTCAATGGGTCTCTTTTTTGGAGATTCTAACATTGACGTGATTACTACTATAGTCAGAAACTTAAGTGAATTAAGAAGGTTTCCTTTTGTCCCCACCCCTTTCTCTCTTCTACTTTCCAGTATTATCTTCATTGCTTAAAGCAAATGGTTCCTCAGGTCCCAAGTAAAATGTGCTACTCACATCATATCATATATATATATATATATATATATATATATATATATATATAGAGCACATGTGTTTGTACAGTCATTGGTGTGTGGCATTACCTTTAGAAGATGAGGATATAAGGCCTCCAACATCCCCAGTGGCTCTGTCCTAGATGTACTAACCAATTTCATTCTCACTTCTACTGACTTTTCAAGTTGTTAATTTTTGGGGTTTTTTTTTTCTGAGTTTCTGGTATTCCCTAGTCCCCAAGTAGTCCCGTTAAACATCACATTTTCTTGTCATTGTTAAGCAATGATCAGGCTTATTACTGCTCGGCAAAAAAAAATATTGCATCTGGTGTAGGCTATGATGTTGCAACTTTTTTTCTCCTCTTTTCCCTTTGTTTCTTTCATTTGCAGTTGTCCCAGCCATATTATGTTGGAACTCTGCTAAGAATAACTGCAATTTTGAAAGCTTTGACTCTGGGAGGCATTATTTATAGACCTTTGTGGTTTTAGAAGGAAAAAGAAAATCTTCCAAGCAGAGTCCTACTAGGAAGGCTGCCCTCACCCCACTTTAGCCAAATACTGTCTCCAGCAGGGTATTTTCCTATAATTCCTTATTAAAAATCTTCTTCAAACACTGTATTAGAGAAATTCCGTGTTTCTAAACTAACTCTTCCTTACCCGTGTATAAAGTTTACATACCTATCAACAGATTATCAGTTGGGCTTTTAGAAGTACATCTTTTCTGGAACTTTCTTGGGCCTTAGTATCAGAGACCCATCTTCAAAGACTTTGGTACACAAGGGCTCATTTTCTTGTCATAGGAACCCAAGTCTCTTTGCTCCACACATTCAGAGATGCTTCTCCTAGTAGCATGTTCCTCATTTTGGAGCCTCAACTGTCAAAGTCCTCTCACAATACAGCCATTCCACCTACATTCTGAGAAGCAAAAAGAAGAAAAGAAAAGAAGACCCAGGAGCTAAATTAGCTCTGCACATAGGCTAACCAGAAGTCCTACTAAAACTCTGACAGATTAGTCAGACATGGTGACATGGCCACTCTAGCTGCGAAGGAGGCTGTATATTGCCATCCCCTATACACAATGGATGGTCTGTCCAAGGAAGAAAATAATGGATATTGGATGGGTATCTCTCATTCATATCGTTTTCCTATATATCATCTTTCCCACCAGTCTCCCCTTTAAACTCATGAGGAGCTCTGTGCTAGGAGTTAGAGATAAAATTTAGGTATCTTAGGAAAGATACCTAAATCAGTGTGCATAACGTGTTCAATTATAATAAATAATTATACCTGTAGATGGTAATGTGCTGGTTAAAACTATGATAAGACCAACTTCATAGGGTATCAAGTAACTCAATTCTTATTTTGTCATTTAGGCAAAGCAAAAAATAAGAGAAGCAAGTGAAGAGTTCTAAGAGAAGTTTTCATATCAATAAAAAATGAAAGCAGTTTTGAAAAACTTCTAAATTTAAAATATGTATATAACCAGATATTATGCTACTTAGATTTTTGGGCTTTGCATTCTCTTATTTTATAACAAAAACAAAATGCATTTGAGAGAAAAGATAGCATGGAAATAATTTTTAAAAATGCTTTGCCTTTCCACAAAGTCAAACAAATAATAGAATATTTGGAATCAAGTCACACTATATATCAAACCACACTGTATATCCTTGTGTATTCATTTCCTACTGCTGTTTTAACAACAACACAAACTCTGGCTTAATTTTTTTTTATTTTTGATAAAATAAAAATATTTTGAAAAGAATATGAATTTATTATCTTTCAGTCCTGGAGAGTAGAATTCTGAAATCAATTTCACTGGGCAAAAGTTTCTTGGAAGCTCTTTGTCTTTACCTTTCCTAGATTTTAGATATTGTCAACATTTCTTGGCCAATATTCACAGTGCATAGCCCTTCTCTTCTACCTCCATTATCACATCACCTCTCCCTGACTCTCATAGTCCTGATAAGGACCTTTGTGATTACACTTGGCCCACTAAAATAGTCCAGAAAAGTCTCCCAATCTCAATCCCTGAATTGATCACATCTCCAAAGTCTCTTTTGCCATGTGAAGTAACCTAGTTACACTTTGCAGGGTTAGGACATGGCATCTTTGGAAGCCATTATTCACCCTATCACATTCGGTAAAATAGAATATTTTTTAAAACACTTCAATGCCCGATCATAACAAGATGATGTCAAAGTCAATTACTGCTCCTTGCATGTAACCCTGGTCTAATTTAGAGGCAAAATAATGAAACTTGATGTTAACCAGGTGGAGAACATATTTTCTCTTCAACTGTTTACTAGTACTATTAGTTGCTAAGTCTTAGTCCAAAATTTTCCTAAGAAAATTCTCTCATGTGCCTATGAAATCTTATTCTTTTCTAACCTCTTTTTCCATTTATTTTCAGAAAAGCCAGACAACAATGCAAGGATTGAAACTATAAAGTATCTTGTACAAAAACTTCCTCCACCAAATCGTGACACCATGAAAGTTCTCTTTGGACATCTTACCAGGTAAGTTGTGAGAGTTTCTGGGTCTGTCGTAATACAGTCATTTCCAAATGAGCAACCTTTCATTTTAAATCTCTAAGACAAGAGTTTCCAAATATAGCCACATCATAATTTCTCCTTTAGCCATAAGTCTTCTTCCAGCAGAAAGTAGAAAATGTAGTAGCCTACAATGCAAAAACCTACAGTTGGAACTTCTGAAAGACTCTATTTCTCCTGGTCTTTTCAAGAAGCAGATTTTTGCTGACTGCCACAACCATCACCTGAGATGATTCACTTGAATTTCTTGTCTAATGTCATGGAAAGAGTATGAAATGATTCCGACATGAGTTCAAAGCCCAACTCCACCATATACCAAGGTTCCCTTAACTTTCTGTAATAAAATTTTCTTATTTGGTTAAGACTGACAAAGTGGTAGCCAGGTAACCAACTAAGAGGTGAGTATCCTGGTAGAAAGGGGCAAAGAGGATGCATTTGAAAAGTAGAAAGAAGGCCAGGAGAGCTATTACCTAGAGAGCAGGGAGTGGGGATAAGAGCTGAGGTCCTAGACACTAGGCCAATGTCAGATCACATAGGTTCTCATGGCCCAGTGAGAGATCTAGATTCCATCACCTTCACATGTCACATGTCCTTCTCTCTTGTCACATCACCTTCTGTCTTCAATAATACAAGAAGGAACAACTGACATGTGCTAAAATGGGGTAGTGTAAAACATTGCTCTGCTGAGTAGAGAACACATTGAAAATGGGATAGTGCAGTGATGTATTAGCAGGAAGTTATAGTCACCCAGGCAGCAGATAGTGGTGGCTTGAGTGGAGCCCTCAAGAACTGAGTGAAGATATCTTGGAGGTAGATCATGTTGGATTTGCTCCCGTTTAAGACATGGTGGAGGAAGGGCAGGAGAAGTAAATTGTGCCACCTGTGTTTCTGCTTGAGCAAGTGGAGAAATGATAATAACACATACAGAGATGGGTAAAACTGGGGGAAGAACAGGAAGAGGAGGTTTGAGATCTCTATTTTGGACATGTTAAAATCTGCAAAGACTTACTCATTTGCCTTCTGTTAGAAGCTTCTTCAGATAAGGCACAATGCAATGCAAGTAATGAGGTTTTAGCTTTCACCATATATGCATAGTAATAATGAAGCACTATTCACAGAATAGTGAACTGAAATAGCAGTTTTCATTTTGAGACTAAATGTCTTCAATCACCTTAGTCACCTCTTCCTCAGGATAAGTCATTTCTCTACATTATTCAACTAATCCATTACCTGATTTTTAATTGTGAATGTAATACATTCAATTACACAAAAAAATAAGCAACACTGATGCATATACACTAAAAAGCAAAATTTATCTTCCAGTCATTCTTAGTCTGCTGACCCAAAGTAACTAACTTGTTTTAACGTGTCATTCCAGACCTGTTTCTAAGTACATGAAACATATGTGTGCCTGGTCATTTTTAGTGCTAAATAACATCCTACAACAAATATTATTCTGCAACTAATTTACCTTCCATTTCATTAAACAGGCTTGGCTTGCTCATTTTAATCAATGCATTAATATTTCATGATATAGATACTCTATAACCTTCTAAACTAGTCACTGCAATTGAGAATGTTTTAATCTAGTGCATCATTTTAGTTACTCTCTTTTTTTACCTTTAGAAAAGAGCATTGTCTCAAAATTGAAAACATCCCTTATTGCTAGAATGCCCTTCCTTGTCATGTCACATGCTGGCTACAGCGAGTAACCTCATGCAATGCAATGAACTGATCTTGGGTTTTAAAGAAATGGGAAGGGAGAGACCTAGAGTCAAACCTTTGTTCCATACTTTACTCCTGCTAAGATCTCAGGCAAGCAAAATTGGATTAACTAACATCACCCATATCTTATAGTCATGAGAATTAAATGAGATAATGCATATAAAATGCCTGGCCCAAGGTAAGCCTTCCTTAAATATTAATTCGTCTCCCTCAGGATTCGTACACACCATGAAAGGGGTTTCAAATTACAAGTAAACACTGGAGTTCTTATCTCAGTAACTTTAACTAGAGAAAGACATAAAATAAATGGAAAAGTATAGTCTTTAATGTTAATGTTTAATACCTCCTCTTAGAGTTCTCAAGAAATATCCATTAGTCGGCCTCACTTGTTCCCTGTTTTATTCAAGTAAAAGAACAGCTATAAAATGAAGAAACTGAGTGCCAGCTAAACCTTCCAATATACACACACAACCATACAGAAAAGAATCTATCAGGTTAAAAACCTTCAAAAGATGAATTTTCCATGCCCATACCACACAATTCCCAGTATTAATTAATTCTTGCTCATGTTTCTTATACTTAAATGAATTTCCTAACTTTGTGAGAATTTTTGCTTAACATAATAGACATGAAAAAAATTTTTAAAACTAAGATTTAAGATTGGATTATTATTCTGTATCACCTCATAACATTCTCATTTTAAGATTTATCATTATAGATGACACAAAAAGTGTTACTTACCAGCCACCAACCTTTCTTGGGTTGTGTCACCATATTTCACCTTGTACCAATTTATAAACTGAATTTAATTATGCACCGTGTATATGCATGATTACATCTTGTTAAGCATTTTTTGCTAAGTTTTTGATAAACAGCCAATTATGGCATGTCATCAAAGCCTGAGAAGACTAAATAAGAAGATTGTTTAACTAGAATTTAAATATATTCATGTTTGAAAGAGTCATTAGAATGTTTTCCTTAGTCTTGATGCATTTGGTAGTTCTTCAGAAAATCTACCATCAACACTTGTATGTAGTGTTTATTCCACATTGTTTCAAATATATATATATATATATATATATATATTGAAGTTTGTTTAGTGAGGGTCAGGGAATGTAATGAAGTGCCAAAAATTCCACTTGACCTATGTACTCTACAGTTAACAGAATAAAATTCCATTTTTGCCAAGCTCTGAGTTAAACATTCCCCTCAAAGCAGAGCAGCTACCAACAAGGACAGCTTCACACAACAGTTGGACTAGAAGATGGATGTAAATCCTATCCACAAAAGCCAGAACTTTTAAGGAGCCATGATTATATTGTGCATAATAATATATAAGAGTTGAATAGGCTAAATAGTATAAAAGTCCAGAGTCGTTATTCTTAATAGATCTCAAGGTCAAGTTCTATCCTTCTACTATCATAACTGGAGACCAATAATTCTAAATAAATTCTCATCTCAAAATGCTAGCATTTTAAATCTATATTCTTGCCTACTTTTACAACTTGACATTATAGTGGTAGGCCCTGGGAGGTCTGTAGTACCTTCTGAATCATATAAATGGGAAGTTCTATCACTATAAAAATGTGTCAAATGTATTTTCTTATGGCCTACTTTGGAAAGGCAAGAAGGCAGAGGGAAGAGGATGTGGAAAATGATGTAACTGCTGATGGATAGTAGTTACAGGCTGAGAGCGAGTTAAAGGAGTTGAGTAACAAAGAGGGAAACACTAAAATTTTAAGCATCGATTACATGATGTACTTATTGTTTATGAAAGAGTATCTATCAACAGCATGAAGAGTGAAAGAGATAGGAGGGAAGAAATGCCGGAGGCCTCGAAGAAGTTGTAGTTGGATTGAAGTGATGGAAAGAAAACATAAAGAAATGATTCAAATCTTCAGATTTTTCTAAGGCAATCATTTTTATTTCTTTCATTGATGTATTCCCTACACCCATTTATCCATACAGATAAGTCTGAGATTGCAGAACTGGGTAATTGTGCTAATCCTCTGAGAGCAATAAAAAAGCAAACGACAATATTGTTTAGGAAAGTGTCCTTTCTATTTTTACTAAGTGTGGATGGGGAGAGAGGAAGGTGAGATTATAGAAAATTAATGAAATAGGCTTCATGCTCTTTTGGCACTTGTGTATTTAATCATGCCTGCTATGTGCTGCTGTTGGGGTATACTGCTAACCATATTGAGGAGAGCCATTATAGGCAATATATCTCAAGAACAAAGACGTCATATGTGTTGAATGAATGGTCTTAGTCTTTCTATTCTACACTAAGTAACGTAGAAAGGGAAAGCTTGTGTAGATCACATTGTTTATGACAATACTATTGGCCTGGTGGAAGCTTGGAAATAATATGAGTGCCTGGGTGTAGGGAAGGATTATGTGTAACAGTATATGTTATACTGACTTAGTGACACGTAGCCTGCTCACAGATTTATTTTTAATGTGGGGGAAATGTATGTTAAAGTTGCATAAAATGAAGAGTAGAATATTTTACCTCCTCAGAGCATTATTATAAATATGTAGAAAAAGTTGCCCATATGGAAAGATTGTAATAATAGTTGCTCGAAAGTTAATATTCCTCTCATTGAGTTTTGGATTGCGAGAGGTTTCTTATGTGTTTCATTTCCACCCTTCACAACAATGTAGAAGGAGACAGGGAGATTAGGTGAACAAAGAGAACAGACTTCAGAGTTAGGCAGACCTGAATGTGAGTTTTGGGCAGAACTTAGCTTCGATTTTCTGATCTGTAAAATGGAGATCATCATTGAATCTACGGATTCTTGTGGTAAGGAATAGATGAATAATGCTTTCAAAAAGCCATGCACAGTATCTAACACATATGAGTACTAAGTAAACCTTATGCATCTATAAGTATATTTTCGAGTAATGTAAACATAAAATATTTTGTTGAAATGCATATAGGGAGAGTTGATGACATGACATACAGTGAAATTACTGTCAAATTTCCTGGCTTCCAGCAAAGTCTTTACCCCACTTTGAAATCTTTTCCCAAAACTTGAATGTCTTTACTGCTCTGCCTCAGCCTGTTTCCTAGAGTCCCACTGAGGTCATTTTCACCTTTGGTAAGCTACCTGACACCCTAACCTTGTGCCCGACCCTGACTCTCTTCCATCACAACTCTCTCCCAACCCAGCTGGCACCCTGTTCCATGTCCTCAGGCCCCCGTGCTTTTCACATTCCAGATGCTGGCTCACTGATGTAAT